CTACAAGAGCCACTGGCTCTGGAACTGCCCCTCTGCACCTGCTGTGGTTCTTTCCTGCTACGTTGTAAAACTGGTCCTCTGATTCCATCTTGGGGTGAATGTACCTGCCGTAGGGTGTCCCGGCAGCCTGGTGCTTGCTACCACCCAGGGCGGTTGCGCTGCCCCAGCTTGCACCAGTCTCTTGTCCGCTTCTGGGCGCCTGGAGCCCCGGCCTTGGGAGCCTTTTGCCACTCTGCACTGTGGATCCTCCTGGCTCCGCCCACTGACTTGGAAAGCCTCAAGGGCCCATCAGTTCTCTCTGCACAGTTTGACCTTCAGTCTTGTCAGACCTGCATGCCACAACCATGTCTCATCCAAATGTAACTAGCCCCTCCCACTTGCGCTTACCCTCAACGTTCTGGCAAACTGTGGTCATAACCAGCTCGTTCTCTTACCGCCAGCTCAGCCGTGTGTGGAAATTGCCTCTGAAGGACATTTTCTCTTACTTGGTTTTTTCACTTCAGAAGTAGCATATGTGGCTTCATTTATATAGTGTTATAAAACATGCTTTACATAAAGGCGTTTCCGCGACCACGTTAGCAGTTGGATGTGTGAAGATGCCTGGTCTGGATGTTTACTGGCTCTGCAAAGGTGGGGTTGCAGCTTGAAGCTTCTAGCAAAAAAGACTCATCTTTGTCACCTACACTTGTGGTGGCGAGAACAGGGAGCTCGCTAGGAGCAACTTCAAGCTCCGAGGACGAGGAATGTGCTCCTTAGGAGCCTGACAGAACAGCTTGCGGGAGCCTCGCTTCCTTGCTGTGAGAGGGAACGGGAAGGAGACTCTTGAAACCAAAGGGAACTCATTAGATTCCAGTACGATCGGTCTTAGTCACTTGGCTCTTCCTCTTTCTGTGACACGGTCAAACCTACTTGTGATCCTCAGTGTAGCAGTGTCCTTGGTAACGGGACCTCTTGTCACAGCCCTGCAGCGCCTACCCACGTTTGCAGGTTGACTGAGCCCACTTCTCCCTCAAGTGTTCATTGAGCACCTGGGTGTTTTAAGTGACTGGCCTGATTGACTTCGTTGATGTCAGCCTGCGCCCTCCTGCGAGTTGCGGGGGTGGGGGGGACCAGTGACTAGCCCGGCTTTGTTTTGCAGGTCATGGCGAGAATTCCTCTAGATGTGCAGTCACCTCCACACTGGGCCGCCTTCCTTGGCTCGCCTGCCCTGGCCATCCTGCCTTAAACACCCACAGCACAGTTGACTCTTATTCTCCAGTGCAGTGTTTTCCTGTTAGCCTTTTACACTTTGATGAATTATGTGCCTCCTTAATCTGAGCGGTGCCCATGCCATCAAATGCTCATGCGCTCCCCTGAGACAGAAGGTGCTCTGGAACCACGGCACTCTCCTGGGACTGTGGACCGAAGATGGCTCCTGCCTGCTCATGACACGGGACCAGTGACGTGTTCAAACGCTGTCACGAGACAGTGAGACTCCAGTGCAGCAGCCGTAGGAGAGCATGTTCAAGGGCAGATCTGTCCCGACAGAACTACACCAAAGTCTATTTTCAGGATGAATTTCTTACTTCTGCCATCTTTTGGAATAAATTATTTTCCTGCTTTCTATGGAAATCTGGTGTTTGTGTTTGTTAAGCTCATTTTTATAAGCCTCTATGTCTCTAAATAAGGCCTTTAACAAAGGCCTTGCAGTTCGAACTCAGGTTGGATGGGTAACAGTGGCCATGTAGTTTGAGGTGCCTGAAGAGACTGGTAAGTACTTTTCTTAATTGTTCAGTAAGCATTTGAGGGCCTACCCTAGCCAAGGCACTGGAGGAATCAAAGATGTAGAATCTGTGGTCTGTGCAAGTGCAAGAGCTGTTATGCTATTTGGAGAGGAAGATCAGTCTACGTAGAACCAGTGTGCGTAAAAAAGTGGGTATGATAGTGAGCAGGTAGCAGGTCGGTACCAGCCACAGGGACGACTTGGAACCAGTGGTTCATTGTACCATCACACCCTCAGACCTAGGACTGGAGAAACCCAGAGTGATTTAAAAAGCCTGGCACAGGGGCAGTAATTCTCGATAGCAAGCATCTCAGTAATGCACTATTTGGGGGGCTTTATTCGTTTTAGACATTAAAATGGATCTAAGTTTTCACCAGCTCGAGGCTTTTTGACAGCCAGCCAAGAATGGATTTCCTGTTTTGCAGTTTGTACTTTTCTATTCCTCCCAAACTCGGAACTCATTGCTTTGCTAGTCTCACAACCAAAGGGAGTTTCAAGTTGAAATGACTCTTCTGCTTTCATTTTTTTCTTTCCATTCTTTACTTTCATTTTGAACATGAAGTTTTCATGAGCGTTAGGCAATACCAGTACTTTACATTTCCAGCAAAGGAGCCTGTTTAGCTAATTTCATGGAATGCATAAAACTGACTACTTGACGCCAAAGGGACCGACCATAGTGGTATATGCTAAGCCCATTGTTTCATAGGTAAGGGATCGGAGCCCAAACAGGGAGAATCATTTGCCCAATTCAGCACAGCTCGTTTGACGCAGATCATCAGGGACCTTGTTTGCAGATCCTTATTCTAAAGCAGCGGTTCTCAACCTGTGGGTCGCGACCCCCTTGGCGGTCAAACGACCCTTTCACAGGGGTTGCCTAAGACCATCCTGCATATCAGATATTTACATTACGATTCATAACAGTAGCAACATTACAGTTATAAAGTAGCAACGGAAATAATTTTATGGTTGGGTCACAACATGAGGAACTGTATTTAAAGGGCCAGAAGGTTGAGAACCACTGCTCTACAGCATTTCCCACTTGCCACCCTGCCTCGCTCAGGTGTGGCCAGGAACCAGCTCTGTGTCTCAGTCCCATCAGAGCAACTCACAGACCCTTACTCAGTATTTGTAACCTAAGAAAGCAGTGCTGGTGGTTACTGTGGCCGCGTAGGGTGCCACAGTCTCTGAGCCCTGACCTCGGAGGGAAGTGTGACCAGCACAGCTGTGCACCTGCATTCTCGAGTCAGTGCATTGTCGCTGGGGATCAGTCTGAAACCTTCCCAGCTCCCACCATGGTTTTTGGTCTGAGCCTCATGCTGTCCCTAACGTAGGGCCCTTCCCTTGAGTGTTGCTTTTGCCTGTATTGAGTTCAGCATCGGCGGTAGCTGCTAGGGTGCCCGCAGGTGTGGAGGGCTGCTGGGGCCTCTTCTCAGTCATGACCATGGTTTGACACATTTGCAGTTCAAGGGCACAGTTGAAGGCAGAGGTCGCAACCCTGGCTGATCCACATCCCTGCGTTGGCCTTGTTCTGTACTGATCCCTTTTTCTACCTTCATTTGCTCTAAGCTAGACAGTGGGAAGTAAACTGGGTTACACTGCTTTTTGCACTCGGGCTTGCTTGCCCTTTGGTGGAATCTGATTCCTGTGAGTGTGTTGACGACACGGGGGCGGGAGCACTAAGGGCCTGGTGCTGTGCCCGCGAGGTTTGATCGTCCCCCAGAAGGGACATCCGGCTCAGTGAGCTTTCTAGGGAGGGAAAAGGCCCTAATAAGGCAGCAATTCAGGCTTGAACCTAGAGGGTTCTCTCCAAACCCTACTGGGACTCCCAATGGTGTCATAATGGCCTCAGCATAAAGCCTGTGAAGAAGAGCTCATTTTCTAGCCAAATTGGAGATCACAGCCCTTCCAGGAAGATCGGTTGCAAGTTCCTAGAGGCCAGGTACTGAGTCTGTCCCCACCCAGCTACATTGCTATTGTTGAAATGAGGGAATGATGAAATCAACTCAGATTTTGTGTGGGGAACGTAATAAAATTTCCTCCCTCCTCCCCCGCCTCAGGAAATGCTTGAGAATATTCAATGCAATTAATAGGTAAATTCAGATGTGTATTTTCTCCTCACCGAATCCCTCATAACTGACCCATTAATTACAATATGGCCCAGCATCTGCCTTGGCTGCTGGTGAATCATTTTCTCTGACAGTTCTCTTGCTCTGGGGCTGGCCCGGCGCAGAGGGAAGCAGCTCCATCCGGCCCTTGGAAAGGGTTCTGGAGAGGTCCCTCCTGCAAAGCCTGTCCAGGTGGACATGGCGTGGCCTCTCGGGGTGATCGTTAGACTAGGAGAAGCCCTCGCTTTGCAATCTCACTCCATCACTCGCTAGCTGTGTGACTTGGGGCAAATCATTTCATTATTGAGCCTTAAGTTTTTTCATCTAAAAAATACCTGCCCTTTCTGCTGTATGAGGGTGTTACCAAAGGAGATGCTGATGGTGAAGATGATTTGTAAATTATAATTATACTCAACGGGTATCTGCCAAAGAAATGACAAAATCCCTCGGACCTAATGACAGTCCTTTTCTTTCTTTTTTAAATTTTTTGTACTTTTCTATAAAGATGTGCCCCAGAGGGGGCAGCCAACTGATTTTTTTCCTTCTACTTCTGGTTTCCCTTTGGTTTTGGGTTACAGAAAAAGTAAAGGCCTGTGCCAGGCTCCAGGCCTGAACTCTGACAGGGAGATGGATCTCTTAGAAACAATCAGAGATTAAGTGTCGGGACATGTCCTCCCAGGTTCCACCAGTTCCTGTGCGAGAATGGGAGTCTTCCTGGCATGCCTTTTGAAGATGTAGTTTGCAGGGTCATTGTTTTTGTTTTCCTCTTTAAACCTATAATGGTGTCTACACCCTTATCACTAACCTAATGATTATTATAAGTCATGCTACATCCAAATGGAGGAGTATTGTGGTGCATTTAATAATTTCCCCCGCCCCAGAATACATGCCTAGAAAAGAGATTGAAAAGACAACAAAACTATTCACGCTGCCTCTGGATGGTAATTGCAGACGATTTTAATATTTTTTTCAGCATTTTCTCCAGTGAAAATGTAACACTTCAGTAAAAAGAAGAAACAGTAAAAGTTACTAACGAAAGATAATAGAACATTATGTTAAGAGGAAAAAAAAAGATTTTAAACTTATGTACATAGCAAAAATCCTGGCAGGAAATAGATCAAAATGTTGATAATGATTATTTCATTTACAACTTTGTGTTTTTTCCAAATTTTCCACAAAGAGTATGTGTTGGTATTATAATTAGGAAAAAAAATGGTGGGTTTTGTGTTGTTTTTTTTTAGAGGGAGGGGGCAGGAAGCAATAATAGTGTTAGTACTTCCTTCAAAAATATAATACATACCCCCTTTTCTGAAAAGAGTAATTCAGGGTCAGGGGAAGTGAAGTCAGATTTATTCAAACACTGAGGCTATTCTCAATCGATGAAAATTAGCACGTTCACACAGCAGTTCTGATGAACTGTGTCCGTTGTGGAGGGCGGAGGGCAGAGCACTCAGCTTATAAAACTGGCCTCCTGTTGTATAGGTGCTCATAACGACAGCACCGTGAAATAACAAGGGAGCATTGATTTGGATTCTACCCACATAGACAAGTGGGAGCCCGGGGTATTCATGTTGTGGGGTACTGCCTGGTTAGAAAAAGCCTGCTGTTCTTCCGCTCCCAACTGCTCCGGCACGTCTTTCATTCAGGCTGCTCCGGTTAAACCTCCTCCTTGTGTAATGTAGTTCCCCAACTCCTCCTCCCCGCTCCCAGGCAGCTCCCAGCAGGAGGATGCTAGCGGCTGAGGACGCTCTGCAGGTTGTGGCCTTCAGGGTTCCATCCTTTGCTTTTTCTGCCCACTACTGTGTAGCTTACACGTGTGTTTCCCCCCCTGAGATAGCAGAACCCTTTGCCGGACAGGATCTCTGGCTTATTCAAACGTTTGATCCCTGCAGCCTTGCACAAAGTAGGAAAGTAGGTGCTCGATAAGTTTGTAGTGAGTCCTGTGGGAGGGCAGCCTTCCTGTGGAGCTGGCTGGTGGTAGGGGCAGCGGGAAGGAGCTGCAGTCAGCTCACAGGACTCCCGCGGCCAGAACCCTCCTGGCTTGAGCCTGAGTGACACCACCCAGGTTGGCAGGTAGCAGACGCCCTCGGTGTATGTGGAAAGGCAGACAGCCCAGCAGGAGCCCAGGTGGGCACTGAGTTGTGGGGGCCCCCTGGTACTGCCCCTCCTACCAGGATAGAACCCACAGTTGGCGTGCAGGTTTGTCAATGTGCTTTATGTCTCACGGTGACTGGAGTGTGAATGCAGGTACAGCCTCTCGCACCCTCTTACATATCTCACTCCTGGCCGGGCTGGGCTTTGTGAGCACAGGGTGACGCCTCAGAACTGGTGGGCACCATCCCTGGTTGTGCTGCAGCATGAGGGGAATTTACGACCTTGTGAATTTCTGGGGGGGAAAGCCTTAGATACAAAGGACCCTCCGACTTCGGCCTCCATTCTGTGGAAGTTTTACTCTTCCCCACTTCAGCCCTCTGCCTGAACGGTTTACTTCGTGTAATGGAAACCCCTCTTCGCAGTTTTACCCAGATTGGGTCCTTCAGAGTGTGTGTCCACTTGTAGTTCAACAAACTGTTATCGCGGCTCCAGGTCTTGGTTCCTGCTTCTTATCAGTCTGTTCCTCCACTTTCTGTTTTATCGTCCTACTTCTGGCCAAGCCGACAAGAAGGTCTCATTGTACCTGTCTTTCGGGAGCCTTTCCTACAACAAACACGACATTGTTCTCGCTCCCTCGGCTTCCTGCTTTG